GTGTGTGTGTGTGTGTGTGTGATGGGAGTTGGTCTTGTTATAGCTGCCCTCCTCTACTCAGGTGTGTCCAGTGGCAATACAGAAAGGATATTGAGTTGTAACCTGGCCGTCCCGTACCAGGAAGTAAGTATGTGGATGTCAGGTGCCGGGTCATCTGTTAAGTCCAACTGACCGTGGGGGGGAAAACAAACGGAGAGGAAGTCGCCGTGCCGCAGATAAGGCGGCAGGAGGAAGACGCAGAACAGAACGGAGAACTGTGGAGATGCTAACAGATGGCGGCTAATAGCGCCGTGGACAGCTTCCATACACTTCCTGGTTAAATTTTAATGCAATAACATCGAACTTCCTTGTGATTACATGAGATATTGAGTTGATGTGCGCTGGTGAGAGATGGCAGCAGATGGTAGCTAATGATACTTAACCACTTCCCTTTTCTTGCTGCTAAGTTTTTAATGAAATCAAATGCAGTTTTCTATCAGTTGCAATTATTTGTGTTGTCGAGACACAATACAAATACATTCTCTGTTCATGTCGACTTCCTTACCGCTAAGTGCATTTAACACGAGCTTCTCTGAAAAACATGCTGCATGCCAAGAACCCACATCGAATCCTTGTCTGCATATTCCGGCAAGTTCCACAGAAATGAGCATCACATATAGACGCATCTAATCAGCCATCCCGGTCAGGTTTGTTTGGTGAGTCCTGGTTGATATGAGAGGTGCGTAGCAGTCGTCCAACAAGCCAGTCGCCCAGGCCTGCTCCAGCCGCTCTGCTCTGCCCACATCTGATTGTGATTCAGAGAGAGGGACATGATCGATAGCCCTGATGGAGCACTACAGCTGTTTAGCTATTCTGTGCAATGCGGCAGCCGCTCTCCCTGTCACCGCTGTCGGCTGTGAGTGTGCATACATGTGCACACAAAGGCAGACGCATGCGCCACCCATGCACACGGATGAAGTACGTGTGTGGCGCGCCCAGAGATGCACGTCCTGCGCGTCGTTTAGGATATGGATGCGTTCATATCCATTTCCAGGTGCTCGTATAGATGTACGTGTCAGAGGCTACGCACACAGATGGATGTCGAGCGTTCGCGCATCATCCTGCTTCCTGAGATCAGGTTTGCAGTTGCAGGTGAGAATAAAGAGTTATCCTTGTTTTTAGTGGATATGGATTTACTCAATACACAAAATAAATAGAATTTATGAAATGTGACTACAGCAATAAACTACAGTGAAGTGAGCCCAACAGGGACGCATTATGATTTACACTGCAACCCTGAGCGCTGAGAAAGTCAAAGGAAGCGCAGATAAAAAGTGATTTAATCCGCTGGCTCCACTGAGCCTCGCTGATTAAAGCCCCTCGTCCCACAATGCATTAAACAGCTTAGAGATGACACCCTATGGTAAATGTAATTCGAACCGGAGATACATTAGCCATTGTTTGGTTTTGGCAGGTGAGTAATCTCGTGTACATACCGTACCGATTGTCTGCAGCAGGCAGAAGGAAAATGGATAACCTTTGATACAGTGCATGTGCTGAACCGTGCCGGCAAATTACAGCTCTTTGTGCGATTTAACTGAATTTCATTGTAAACAATCAAATGACAGCTAAACAAACACGGAGGTGTGTTGTCAGAGGGGCGAGGTACAAGCAGCGTGGAGCGCTGGAGAAACGACAGCAGCAGACTTTAATGAATCTAGCATTTGCTCGAACGTCTAACTGAGCAAACAGAGATTCAGCCCAGACTGAATGTGCAGCAACAACACAGCTCCTTCCTTTTCACTTCCGTTGTTGTTGCTTGCTCCGTTGTCATGCTGCCAATATGGCAGCAGAGCTGAGAGTCGGCTCCAATATTGTCCAATAGATGCTGGATAAATAATGAAAACCACATCAGGAAGCAGCCACAGTGGCCCTGGGAGATGGAACCAAGCGGAAACATGCAATATGTACAAGCTTTCCTGCTTCTCTTTTTTTTTTTTTTTTTTTTTTCATACAGCTCTCTGGCATTTCTCTCTTTAACTTCATCTGTTTTCACAATTACTTCTTAAACCACAGTGACTATCTCTGTCTGTCCTCACTCACACTCGCTTTGTCTCTCAGTTCCAGAGTATTATACATAAAACGTTCATTTAGCTCTACAGTAACAGCCATATTCTTTATGGATACTTATGGAGGCATCAGTGCTTTTTTCATTTGAAATTCCCCAGCTTC